CACGGAGACGTAAGAGCCGAATGCATCAGGCTGTGTGGGTTGTCAGAAAGCAAAGATCAGAGATTTATGCGCAGAAAGTAAGAGCACTTTTTAAAGGGTGTAACTTTTTTGCACAAAGTTGGACGACAGATCTCTAAATAGTCTCTCTATTGTCTACAGGGCTCATATAGCAGCGGTCATCAGAGCTGACTTTTCTACTTTCTGACCTGGTTCAGTTTGTCCAACAACTAAAACCGGCATGCTAACATTGCTACTGCCCTCACTGCCAGTAGTTCATGGGCTTTCTTCTGCGTCCCTGTGAATCATGGTTGCATTCGAAAAGTTTGTGTTTGGTTTTGAGATAGTTTTGGTAAATGGCCAAAATTGCCACAGACCCCTGGTACACCTGTATGGTGTATGGTTTTAGACGTTGCCACGAAATAGGCAAAGTCTAAAACCATACACCATACAAGTGGCTCATTTAAATATTATTGAAAAAAAAAGTTTCTTTTTTTACGTATTTAAGCAGATGTTGGCTTTATTCACAAATGTTTTCAGACTAAAATAATTGTTTGTCAGTGAGATCGTCTTGTGATAACTTGCTTCACCTCATCCAACGTTCCCATCATCTCTGCCAGAGAAACCATTCGCTTAAAAATTGGAATAAAACAAGTGAATTTATGTACATTTCTGCTTGAAGAAACAGAAAGCAGTCGGACTCAGATGAATGGTCAGATATCGGAACAGAGGTAAAAGAAGCTAAAGTGTTTTATTTTCCTACTCAGAGCTGTAGAGCTCTTTTATAAGTGGGCCAGCAAGGGCAAAAATAGCTTCAGTTCCCTGGAGGAGTCTCTACAACAGGAGGTCGCCACATTGCCCTGAGTCTTTAAATATTAAAAAGTCTGTTTATACCAGGCTGGAAAATAAAGTTATTTTCAGAGACTTTTATACTGGTTTAAAATAAGCATCACTATACCACTGCTTTTTTTAATATATACTTTAAAAAAATATTTTTATATTATATTTTTATATTTTTAAATAAAAATTTTAATTTCAAGCTTGCCTGTTTTTGGTTTAAATAAAAATTTTAATTTCAAGCTTCACGCTAACTGACTAAGTGGTTGACTAAAATTCAACATCTCAGACTTTTTTGTGGGTACCATGGGAGGACCAGGTAGACTTCTCTTTTTCACTGACAATTTGACATTTTTAAATGTTAACTTTATCTCAATTCAAGTTGTTGGATATAACCTTGTGCAAAAATTAATGCCTTGTTTAAGATGTGAAAGGCCAAAGACTAAATGACAATTCACAAAAAAAACTTCAACTTCAGTATCTGTGGCCCAAAACTATTAGAGAGAATTTTTCTTAAATTTTGTGCAGAGACCTCCGTAGGTTCTCTTAAATATGCTCAGGAAAACAGGCTAATGGAAACTCGCCCACTTCCTCCTGCTCTTCCTCCCTCCCCTCTCTGTAGCTTAATGACTTACACAGGCCTCTGCATCACCATGACTGGAGTTTGTATGCTAACGAACCACTGAGCTAATTACTATTTCAGCCACTCTGGCTACTTTCCTGTCCTCTGCTTCTTTCGGTCAAATACAGTCTCAGCCTTCCACCCATGCAGAAGTAATCCAGTTAACATTCAGCAGAGGATGAATAATGACTTTTATCTGCTGTGAGCTGGAGACAGAACCAGTGTAAACTTCTGCTCTTGTGACTAAATCTAAATGCTCTCTGGAGAGGTCATGCTAGGTGGAAGGTCACTCGGTTTCTCAGTTTTGTGATCCGTGCAGGGTTAGGAAAATCACTTAACCTTTATATAAACTAGCAGTTGTCCATGTGAGTTTTCATGTGAATCATTACTTGCCTAATGTAGCAGAAAGAGAGTTATTACGGAGCAGGAGGGGAAAAGTTTTGATATGACAAATTGCGTCATTATTTGAACTCATGACTTGTGTCCAAGCACGGAATCCATTATTAGAGAATAAACTGCCCTCTGCTGCAGGTTTTTCTTCTTCTTCGTGTCTGAAATAAATTGTCGCCAGGCCATATTTAACAGTAAAAGTGTTTACAGCTTTCACTGACCAGCCACAATTAAAGGCAGGTGAAAAGCCGAAAGTCCTGAGACATTTCAGACAAGAATGCTAGATAATATCCAGACAATGAGGTACAGACATTTTCCAAAAATATGCCTTCACATCTTTACTGCAAATTCAGACTTGCAAAGCATGGCATACACAGATCGCATTTCAAGAATGTTGGTACAGTATACTTTCTAAAATGCTGACTTAAGTCAGAAAAATTGGTAATACTCTAGAACCTTTATCAGGCAAGGAGTTCATTTTTACCTCCAAATATTTAGTCCCATTTTTTTTTTCAGAATGCTAATTGCAGGTCTATAAAAAATACTTTTTTTGTTTTGATTGATTCTCCTCCTAAGTGAGTTTTACCCTGATAAAAAAATACAGTTACCAAAAGATATTTTCAAGCAGCCTTTGAAGGAGTCTTAAGTCATGACAAAGTTTATGCATTATGAGGTTTGGAAAGGCTACAGTGTATGGCATGGAAGGTTGGTTCTCCCTCTCCCTCCCCCCTGCTCCAAACATGTCATAGCTATCAGCTGTTGGGGTGAGTCCCAGCTGCCTAGTGTGGTGACTCTAGAGTGATAGCCATCAGCATTTGCCACATAAAAGGAGAGAGAGGCTAGTGTTCCTAAAAAAGCCAATGAGAAGTAAGGATGGGAGGCCATGTTGGGACATTGGCTCTGTGTCAAATCAAGATAAGGTCTTTGATTTATCTGTAGTTTTTCCCTGACTGTATCACTTTATAAAGTAGTTCCTTCCCCAGTTAAATGTAGAAAACAAAGTGCTCTTGTAGGATGAATTCCTTTGATGCGGGATAACTTGTTTGCATTCTTCAGATGCTCCTCCAGCCGCAGGGGAACATGTATTTACAGTAGTAAAGTCCTGTGTTTTGATAAGATTGAAGAGTTCTTGTGCTTGTGTATCGGACAGCTCAGCTCTTCTCTGTGTGGTTACGGTCTATTAGTGCTATCTGTGGTATTATATCACACACTGGCCACCATGTTAGGTCTAGTACTGGTTCCAAAAATGTTTAGTTTAAGAAGTGCATATCAAGGGAAATTAAGTTTTTATAAGCACATCATTTACATATGAAAACATCTGCAAGAAAATATTGTTGAAGAGTTACATTTTTAAAAAAATATATTGTAATAAATGTTTCCTGGCTTAGCCCTTCCTTAGTGTTTAGTTGAAAATCTATTTTGGTTTTCTATTAAAAATGTGTTAATATAATTTGAATTTAACATTGACGAAGTAAACAGTCCTAATTTCTTTCACTGAGAAAACTGAAAACTTCATTGGGGCTACAAGTTTTACCATGGCCTACGTATAAAAATTAAAATTCACCCTATTAACTTAGCTATCAGCCATTGTCGAGTCAGACGTGGATGTGGAATTATACTGTTTGTCTGACTTTCATTGGATTTGAACCAGCAATCCTTTGAATGCTTTTTGTTTGTGCAAAAATACCTAAAACAATTCTACAAGCTCTACCTGTAGATTCCTGGTGTGCCGACACTTAACTTGTTTGCACATCACCTTGTAAATACTCAGTATAACATATATACCACCACATGTAGTAGTAGGGTCAGATATGTGTGACAATCAATCAGTCCCAGGATCTTCGCTTTGATTTACATGCGTGGTACATTACTCAATAAATTTAATAAATTAATAAATATATCAAATTATGCATTTACTAATTGTTGGTAACATGGCGGATATTTTGGAAGCTTGTTTTATTCCGTGGGTTTTCATTCATTGGCCTGAGCTCCTTGCATTTTAAACAGCTTAGTTTTGTTTACAATGACCCAACTGCCCATATAGAAACGCAAGTCAGTGGCACCCTGCAGTCCACCCCCCCCCCCCCCCCCCCCCCTCTCCCCCCCCCCCCCCCCCGCCCTCCCCTCTCCCCCACCTCTCTTTTCCTTTTGATTCCTGGAAGTAGTTTGATTCAGATGCAAATTCTGCTCCAGCAGAAGACAGTCAAACGGCTAATTACAGCGGTGTTGGAGAGCTGACTTGCTGACATCATTACAGGATGTGTGCGTGTGTGCGCGCGCGCGCGTGCGTGCGTGTTTGTGTCTCAGATTGTGTGAAGTTACACAAACAAGGCCTCGAACAAGACAGGAAATCGACCACGATCCCTTCAAAAGAAAACCTTGTTGTACGACGTACATAAGACTAAAATCGTTTGAACCAGTGACTGGAGAATTACCAAATCAACTCTAAGTTCAGTGGTGTAGTTTGTGAAGTAAACGCCAAAGATCTGTGATCCCATGACCGAAATCTAGTATAAATAAAATCAGAAAATGCCATTTTAATCATAACTGGGAATCATAACTAGCATTGCAGATTAACTGTAATAACTGTGCTGGAAAAATGTAAAGTTTCCAAATAAGGAGAAATCACTTTACTAGTTTAGTTAATGCTTTTAATTTTGAGGTCATGAAAATGATGGAGGATATCATGAAACTAGGTTAACTGTTAGTCTTGTGTTATGTGACCAGTGGCATAAAAAACTATAATGCACCCAAACTGAATAGACAGTAGAGAAACTACTAAGGAGATCGGGTTAAAAAAACACACTTTGTATCCAGAGGCTGTAGAACTGCTGGACTGAGATGCTATAGCACTGTACTTCTTATATTTGCCTTTATAATGCATTTTATTTGTCTGTATTCTCTTCTAGTTTATTTATTAATATCCCTGTGAAGTTAGATTGCTGTTTTTTTATTACCATTTCATGTTTAATGTAATGTTTTACAATTTCGATGTATTTATTCAAAGGTTGGTTTTCAAAGCAAATTTTCTTAAAACCCATCACTTTTCTGTTGGTTACTCGCGTAAGATTTATCGTCAGTGTGAGTGTTATTTTGAAGAACCACACCGGAAATGGCCGTACTATTTCGGTTGCCTTAACAGCTGTTCCTGATTAAAGCAGTGGCCCGAGCCTGCGGGTCAGTCAGCAGCAGCAGTGAGCGGCGGAGACCCGAGCATCTCTAGCGAACTGCTGCGCCTTTACGCACGGAACAGTCTGCACGGATCTTTACTCCGTGAGTCCTCAGTACTGCATGGACTAAAAACTCCAGAAGAGAAGGTATCTGCTGGGATTGAACACGTTTCTATTGACTCCGTTACCATTTGGATCTGCGACTGAAAGTGGGATCTCTTTTTCACGCATTTAAATCGACTTGTTCGAGGACACGAAGTGTCCGAGTGTGTTTGCGCAGAAACAGGAGGAGGAGGAGGAGGCGTTGACAAAAGGCGTTTAAACGCAGGGGATTAATGTTGCACAGAGGTGCCGACACAGAGACAGGCTGAGAACAGAGTCTGGGATTTTTGTGTATTTTGGAAGTTTGGGATTTAAACCGATTGCCAAAGTTTGCCATGAGGAAGACGAATTTAAAAATCTTAACTAAAAGAACCAAGAGTAAGGACGAGGATAATGTTTCAGCCCTCTGTCGCAGCTTGTAAAAGGTAAGCAGCTAGTTTTTTTTTTTTCTTTTTGCGCCACGGCAGATTCCTCCGTGCGTAATGATTAACGTGCTTCAAATGAATATACTCTTAGGACAAAATCCTTAAAAAACATTCATTCAAATGGAGGCTGAGGATGAAATCACTACTCTGCTCATTCAAAACCCACTTTTATCATGGTGGCAGCCACGCAGAGAAAATGGTATAGTATTAAGGGTTAAAGATGTACTTTAATATTGACAAAACCTGCTATAAATGCACTGATGGTTAGTGAATGCCTATCTCCACCACTAAGTCTTTAGGGCATTAAAAATGATCCTGTATTTCAATAAACGTGGACATAATTGTCAGTTAAGTAGCTCATTTTAAACGCAAAATGTTCTGGTAAATTCTTACAGTAGAAAGTAAAAAAAAATTACATTTGTTATTCTTTTAAATTGTGCACTTCAGTCCAAGTAGTCGTTAGATACAGCTTGTGGGACCTAATTTGTATGTATTCTATGACACTTTATCCACGATGTCACTACTTTTTAAAGGGCTTTTTGTTATTTGCAGGTTTGTGGTTGTTTTTTTTTAATATTCGTGAAAACAAGTGATTCTTGTTATCTGCAAAACACTTTAGGCTTCCAGCATGTGACTAATTCCAAATTTACTTTTACAACACTGATGATACACTACTGTATACTTCCATGTCTGCTGACTAGGCTTTTGTAAGCAATGAGCTAAGGGATCAGTAAATAATAGTAACAGAATATTATAAACCAAATGTTTGGACAAAGTGAGCTAAAAGTTAGCCTTTAACTTTCAACTTTTGTTAACTAAAACTTACAACATTTGAGACATGAACCAAAAGGCTTTCAAAACTGTTTTCGAAGTGAGATAAGGAAAAGCTCTGCACCGTTGACCCAAAGATCACAGACCACTGTAAAATACATCCCGTGTCATTTCTGGCCCCTGCACCAGACTTTTGTCATAACCTCATTAATATAAAATGACTGGAGGTTTGGAGCAGATCGCACTCAGCTATGGGTATTATTGGGCTTTACGAGTAATGATATGTAAGTAGATTTAATTCTTAGTTGGGTAAACACAGAGCTCTCTGAGGACTCCTCCTTCTCCCTGTTTTCTCTCCCCCGCTCCTCTTCTCACCCCCTGTAGTGCAAACGGTCAGGCCACTGTGCTGCTGCCTGCCAGCAACTTCTTTGTTGTACAGCCTTTGTGCCATATGGACTGTAGTTTGCTTTGCAAATAAACACCTCGAGCAGAGTCTCTCTAGCACATTTCGTATGTTTATCTTCTTTCAGATCTCATGGTCTCTCCACATTTTACTGGTCACGTGCTGAGTTGCAGTGTGCACCAAACATTTGACCCAGTTTCTGAGATATTAGCCCAATGTGCTTATAATGTGAATCCTAACAGGAGCTCATTTCTGAAAACATGTAGATCAACAATCTCTGTGTGTAATGTAAAAAGGAATGTTTGTTCAGGTGTGAAACACTTTATATGAAATGGTGTTTTAAAAATAAAAACTAAAAATGTTTTGATATATTAGTAAAGTATTTGGATGTCCTCCAAAGTTTTAGGAAGCAATCATGTTCTTAACCAAATCCTTGCCCTTTCTTCTGGTTTTCAAACCTTTTTACTTTTTGAGTCGCATTACTCCAATACTACGCATGGAAGTGTCCCGATGACTTACCGAAGGAAGAAAATACAATACATAAAAACCACACCAAACCACCATTTGATGCTTGCCTACTAACCATGGAATGATCATTTGCCACCTCAAGCCAAATCTTGGCTCTTAAATACTTTGCGGTGATGACTCATTCAACTCCCTTTAGGCTGTAAAAGAGCTCTAAATGTTTCCTTTTTGTAGTTTACTGCAAACTGCTTTGGAAACAAAAAGGCATAATCACATCTGCATGGTGTTGTTCCGCAGAGAACATTTACAAGACTCAATGAAGAGCGTTTGACCTGTTAAAATGGCTCTTGTTGTAAAAGGTCACTAAATTAGCACATGAATGTACACATAGAGGGAGGGGCTTAAATTGAATAACATGGCTGCAGCAGTTTTACTTCAGGTCTTATGCTGAAGCAATTTAAAAATCCAAGGCAAAACGCCAGACCAAGGTCGCAGCTTAGCATGTATTCAGTTAATTTTTTAAATGATCAAGTTTATCTCAATACCTCAGTAAATTGATAACTAAGATAACTTGATTTCAGCCAAAGCTTTAGCATCTATATCTGTACAAATCCTCCAAATTTCTAAAATTTTTATATTTTTATTACTACCTTTTTTTACATTGAAAAGATCTTGTTTTGTGTCTTTTTTTATCGTCTATCATTTTGTTGCTGCTGCATGTCAGTTCCCCCAGTGTGGGATCAGTTTAATTTAATTAAATCTAATCTAATACTAGACAAAAGTAGCTGGCCTACAGTTATACCACAGAAAATTGAATTTTACTGAAAAGATGGAAATATTTGATAACATTGCACTAAAGTGATTTATTCATGCTGCTGCCACACATTTCACCAGGCTCAGCGTGTTTAAAAAAAGTCTTTGCTGGATCCAACCAAGATTCTTTTTGACATTCACAACTGCTTCTGGAAAAACTGTCAACCTATTACACAGTAGGTCACTGTACTGTATGTTTTCTTCAGACGTCGTGAAAGGAAAGTTAACATCATTCTCTGCTAAAATTCCCAAAGAGAATTTGTTTGGCCGATTTGTATCAAAGATTTATACTTTAATTCATCATGAGTAGAAAGGCCAAATCAAATCACTAGTGTGTTTCGCTGTCAGATTTGCTGACGTATCAAGTACTGGGTGACTGTTCTTTTGATTTCCCTCCCAGGTCTTTGCGGAGTTTGTCTTGGAAGGCCGTGCCTTCCATTAATCCTGCTTGTTTCTCTCCAGAGCTGTGTCATTTTTATGGAACAACAGTGAATGAATAGGTAATGTGATCCAGTGACATACAGTCAGGTTGGGCTGTGAAGAGACACCATGGGATATTACAGTAGAGTGACATTTCAAGTTTAAAAAAAAAAGTTGAAAGAGGAACTGACACATAAAACTGTATCAGCTTTCGACTAAAGCTAGCACATATAGCCAGGAGTCTTTGACCAGGCTAACATTGCGAAATTAGTTAAAACAAAGTCAATTAGCAGCCTTTAGCTTTTCAGTGTCTGCTCAGTCCAGTGCTGTTTTATTTAATAGGCTTCTGTGATGTGAGAGAAGAACTGAAAAAGGTTTCTAGTCTATTGTTTAAAGAGGAAGTAATGCAATGGTAAATTAAATAATTAATATAGTCAGAATTGTGGCGCTTTGGCCCAGAGGCAATGACTCTGTCATTGGTGTGGAACCCCAGGGTTCACCTCCTGGGCAAGTTCGAATCCCGGTTAGGGCGGTTGGTACCTTCCAGTGGACTCACCACCCGCAGGAAGGTTTGGTATGGTGCAATGTGATTTGGGGGGCGACTGCTGCCCCCGCGACCCGGAAACGGATAAGCGGATGAAAATGGATGGATGGATGGATATAGTCAGAATTGAGGGGATTGAATAAAGCTATGGAGAATAGAAACATTATACATATATTGTATATAAAATGTTTTGGGTTTTTTTTGTTTGTTTGTTTTTTCAATAGAGGCCCCTATACCTCTACCACCAGTAGACTAAATTTGGTTTAGAAGGCCTTGTCTTCCTCAAATGTTTTTTGACAGGTGGGTACAGGTTAGAACTCTTTTCAGAGTTCTCAGGAATACGTAGCATCTGGCTCTTACTAATTGGCCGCTAATGCAAAACATCTTAATGTGACCTGGTTCATGTCAGGAACACGTCCAGTCATGTTTAACAGTAATGAAGTCTACTAATGGCCCTGAAGCCAGTCTTTCACAAAGAGAGGAACTGTGTGGAACATAAGCCATGTTTCCATATTGTAGAACTGGATCAGGAAACTATTTACAAGTTACTAATTGGCTCTTATTGGCTTTTGCAGCAGTTAGCTACTGGTCCACAGGGCTGAACAGTTCTGGGAAGGTTATGCAAATTAGTCTCAGGGCATGTTTAAAAAACTCTGCTTGTTACTTTATGTCATTAGTTGTATTTATGTACAAAGGCATCTGGACATTCTTTTGGTGCTGCCCCTCATTAACTTTGGAGCAAAGTTAATAAATTCTGGTAATTTTTAGTTCAACGGTTGTTTTTGTTTTGCCAAGTTCTGTTTTCTAGTGCCCTCAGTGGTTCCTTAAAAAATAAAATTATTGATCAATTAAAAAAAACAGATGTCAGAAGTGGGTGGGTGTATAAAGACAGGGCAGCGAATACTGCCGTGCTCTGAACATTCAAAGCTGTCATTGGAAGATGGAGTTAAATCACCAAGTCAAGTCATGCCATGGAAAGGCTGCAGTGGTTTTGAGCACTGTTCAGGAATGAGAATAGAACAAAATCTCTGCTTCAACTTCGCAAGGCCATACTTACCTCGGATGGCTTTTGGAAAGAGTTGAAACATGTGGCTTTTTGTAAAGCTTGGGCTAAAAGTCTCCTGATCACTGCCCCAGGAGTTTGAGGTAGATTGTATTTTTTTTCTAACCCTGTAAAGATCAAATAACAGTTTTCATGAAGACTGGCTAGGCAAATTACAAGTATATCAGATTGTCTTTGGTAGACCATGAGAAAACAGACATGTCTCAAAATAAATATTGATATTTTTTTTAACACTACACACTCAGAAAGGACAGGGATCAATGTGGACAAACATTCCAACTCACTGCCATGTCAGCGTAGAAACATAGCATATAAATAGCTTGAAGTTGCAGAGTGGACCTGAAGGAAAGCATTTCACACTGCATTTTTTTCAGACAGGACACGACACAGCAGCCTTCCACGACTCTTCCTTTGTTTTCATTTCTATTGAGTTAAAACACCAAGACATCAAAAACTTTGTGACCTCTGAAGCGATGCACCTCTCTGACCCACTGCATCAGACCAGATGTGTGATTCCCTGCAAACATCCTGATCTCCCTGCGTTAGTCCTGGCAGAGATGGCGCTGGCCTGTGGGGGTCTGTGCCTCTTTTACCCCCCATTTTCTGTTTAATCTTATGTTTTACAAGATGGTTCAAGAAGATGCCTGGGATTTTCCATCCATTGAAACCTAATCCTTCCTTATAATCTACGGTTGTCAACCAGGAGAGATTTGGAGTGTTGGGCTGCTCAAGTGAAGTACATCGCAGACTCCTCATAAAAATGACCTTTCAAAAATTAAAGAAGGCTTTAGAGCTTGTTCTTCATCAACATGTTTGTACTACGTCCCTTGGGAGATGTAAATTCTCCTGTTCAACTGGTCCATCTGTAAAGTTTGCTCAGGACCTGTGGACAATGTTGTTGGTTAGTAATCCCTGTGACAGTGTTTTTGGTGAACAATGATTCACAGATGTGGGTTAATCATCACCACCAGGCTTTTTCAGATGAGCACTGTAACCCCGGTGACGGACGTTTGGTAATGCATAACCAAGATCTGCTAGCCCCCCCCCGCTGTCAGCTGCATAGGTCTGCTTTACCTGTATTGTTTGGGGAGTAGCTTCACCATCTTAAAGTCAAATAAGTGAGAGCCACTTTGCAACTGAATAAACTGTCAGTACACATTAGCCAAGCACTTATTGGAGCAGAGATGGCAGAAAGTCTCCACAGTGGCATTTTGTTGTGGGTTCTTTAAATAGAGACATGTGAAAACTGATGCCAAAACTTTCAGACGTCTACTGTCTGCTCAGTCTTGTGTTATTTTTGTATAAACCTCTTTGAAATGTGACATTAAGAGTGTCAAAGTCGTAGGAGAAAGAAAACATTGACAGGTGTGACAGTCTGTCATTTATATTTATACAATATTTTTTGAGATGCTACCTAAACAAAACATTTTATGAGAAAAAAGATGTAAGGTATTAAAAGATTTTGTTTGCATTTTTTTTTCTTTATAATTTGTTATTTATTTATTTATTTGAGTAAAACTGGAAATCAATGCATGCAGTAAAAAACAATGTCTACAGAACTATTCCTCCAGCACTTAATGACAAACTTCTGGTACTCCTTAATTACTATTGCCAGATTTTCTGTTCAGACTGGATGTGTCACTCCAGACATTCTTAAGAGATTCACTTTGACAGTTTCATCGTCTTATCTTATCTTAATGCTCTCATGTGAGAAAGCAGGAGGGAAACACGGGATAATCCACAGCGAATGCCTATCCTCCTAATGCTTCTAATGTCTCCTCCATCACTTCACGTGCTTCTCTCGGTACAACCTACTCCTCCCTCTCCCCAAAGACATACAGATAACACCCCCAATCTGCTGACAGTGTCCAGATTTCATGTCTCAAAATTGATAAAATAGTACCACACTTTTCATCCCATTACATGTGATGGATGTTTCCGGCCAAATTGTGTGTTTTCTTAATATTTATGCAGCCATTTCCTGAGATCCACGACTTGGCTGTCCAGAGAACGTCTGCAACTTTTGAAGGTCTTTTTTTCCCCCATTCTGTCAAAGCATCTCTTTTTTAGTACCAAAATCCACCAGTGCTAAGTCAAGAGTAATGAAGTTCTTCGTTCAACACGACACTACCCTTTAGGACCAGAAGTGCTGTTCTCACCAACAGACAAGGAGAGTATGGCCAGCTCTCCACAGAGTGCCGTCTGTGCTCTAAGCACTTTACACAAACACATCTGTTGCTAGCCAGATTGTCAGTCTGTCAGCCTGTATTCGGAGTGTCCTAAAGCTTCTCTGTAGGGCTGAACTGTCAGGCAGGCAGGCAGGCATCTGCCCTGGAAGGTAATGGGATTGTCTCCCTGGTTAGGCTGCCCTAGGAGAGGGGGGGGGGGGCACCAGGGTTAGTGGGGTGTGACATTCTGACCACCCAGACGGTCTTCTTTGTGGTGTGGCATAGATTTGTCAAGGATATGGTGGATTTGTATGCATGCAGTGTCTTCTTCCTTTGGATCCAGCTACATATCGAAGCTTTTAACGTGTTCTGTTCTGCCTTTTTTTAAGCCTATCTCAACATTTTTGCAAATAAATGAAACATTGCATCTTAAACTCATTTGACATTTGGAATTACTATATTGTCTATTTTAAATGTCTTAACACTATTTTCCCTGTAGAGGTGTTTGTGTTAACATGTAGAAAAAGGTACACACTCCTGGCCTCTAGTCCTCTGCTCGAAGCCTGGCTTTTAGTCGTGGTGATCATGAAGGTCACCCTGAATTATTACTCATCAGGATAAAGATAGTTTTATCTATAAATATTACATGCATGGAATGGACGTATCCTTAATAGGAGAAGTGTCAAAACTCCAGGCCTTCTTTTCTGTGGACTTACACGGAGATACTTTCCATTTTAAGTCTGAGGCGTGGCCTTTTGACTAATGACAGTGGAGCATTGTCCCAAATAAGCATCTGTTAGTGTTTCTACCCAACTGTGTTCAAGGACTCTGTGTGTGCATGCACGTGTGTGTGTGTGTACAGTACTGTTTTCAATCAATGTCACTGAGCCTATTCTACCAATTTCCACTGCCTGTTAGTTATTATACCATCATACTTGGTACCCCAAAGATCGCTGAACTGTGGGAGCAGCAGCAGGAAGCCATGACATTTGAACCCTCTGGGGTTCATAGCCTCTACCTGCTAAGGGTTTCCAATGTGTCCTTGAGAAAGAAGATGAATAGGGTTTTACAGAACTGTAAATGTTTAGGGAGATGTGTTTTGGCACTTATATTGAATCTGTTTAACATTTGGTGATAAGGATTCATTTAGCTGTGGATTAATGGTGTGTCTTATTGCCAAAACAGCCTACAGCCATGATATCAGCAGAAACAATGCATTATGCATTGTTTCTGCTGATATCATGGCTTTCACAGTGCAGTTTTGTTTACACAGTGAATTATGAAACTATTTTAGGTTAGTTAGGCATTCTGAGATAGTACTGTGGTAAATATAGTTTTTTTTACAAACCACTAATTACAGTTTTCAGCTCAAAACTGCAGCTTGAACAATTTCTGCTTTTATATGTCATGTCTGCACGGCGGGTGAATTCATGTTTTGTTCTGACAAATGTTTTCCTCCACATTTTCTTCCATGGCAGGAAGATCTGTGTGCACTGTAAGTGTCGTCGTGAGGAGCATGCAGTGTCAGCCATGCCTGTAGAAATGGAAAAGACTGTCACCAAGCTGATGTACGACTTCCAGAGAAACTCCACCTCCGATGATGACTCCGGCTGCGCCCTGGAAGAGTATGCCTGGGTACCACCGGGTCTCAAACCCGAACAGGTATTAGTTTGACTTTATCTTATGATACAAGGGGGCACTGTTCAGGTTTGACATATTTTTGATTGTGTGCTGCGACTCTTGTTTGTATTTTAACTATTCATGTGCTATTCCTGTTGTCTTGGTGCTGTACTGCTGCTGGAGCATAGATTTCCCAAAGGGAACTAATTAATAAAGATCTATCTATCTAATCTATTCTATCTATTTGGACCACTGGTCTCCTGTGTAAAGCTGGAAAACAGATTTAAAAGAGTACCAACCATTTGGAAAGATAATACAAGACAAAGAAAACACTGGCTCTCACAACTGCTGGTCATGTGCAAATTTTTTATCTCTCAAGTTCATTTACACAAGCAATTTCAAACCTGGACGTTGGAAAAAGGTTGTATTTACTTGCTAATAGAGGTAGCAGTGAATCAACAAGTCCTGTGGGGTGTGGTGTTAAATTTGTGTGGACTTTGTGGATGATGGGAGATTTAAGAGATGCTGCAAGATTCAGGTTCCACACAGAAAGGATCTACTACAATTACCACAGCCTGCCAGTATATTCTGATTTTAACTGCTTCTTTAATAGCATCACATTAATTAAACTAGTTTTTTTATAGAAATATTAGCTAGGTGAATTATTGTGGAATTATATATATATATATTAACATTGACAGAATTATGCTTCTGTAACACAGCACTAACTATAAATCAGTGCATTGCACAGCATAATGGAATTGTTCCGAACCAAATCCCTACAATTTTAACTGACGCAAACACATTAGCGGTCCAGGCTCTACGCTGTCACAAATCATGTCTTTAGTTTTCCATTTAGCACCGCATCTGATTGTTTAACGGCTCACTGGTCATCTCCGCTGCACTCTGCAGGCTAATGGTTTACAAGGATTAAACGACCCTTTCTGTAAAATGAATTTGCAGTTGTATTATTGTCTGCTGTACATTTCATCGCCTTCTGGAAGTCTTGTCTCAGCGTGCACTCAACAGCAACACACTTATTGAAGAAAATCCTTTTTTTTACAACCCGCTCTCTCCCTGTATGTGGTGAGGGTTTCCAGTTTTATAGGTGTAATGGTCTCGTTTATGGAGGATGTTTTCGCTCTGTTGATGAACAGTGAGTTGGTCAATAACACACAATTTTGCCACAGCCCCCTTTTTCCTCCCCCCGTAGGTCTAAGTGAAGCTATTTTTCATCCTGCCCCCGGGGTCACACGTCTAACCCCAAAGTCAATTAGGTTTTCACCATGGGGGGCTAAGACCATGGGCCACAGTCTGTCAGTAATAAAGACTTGCTGTATTGACACAGAACAATGAACTGCATGTTTGACTGCATTTCCAAATAAACCTAAATAAACAAACATTTTATAATAATAAAACAGTGTGTGTATGTATGAAGACATGGGAAAGAGAAAATACTGAGGGTTAATCTGAGCGTCAACATGGAACGCAGGGCTAATATAATTGTTAGCTTTGACTAGTCAAAGAATTTCAAACACTGCTCATTTACTGGGTTTTTTACCAAACAACCCTCTTCAGGATTTACAAAATGAAAACAGTTGTAAAATATTCAGTACTGCTCCCTGGAAAAACACGGCACAGAGAACGCCTTTCTCCCGAGCCAGACCCTGCCATTCTCATAAGTATGGTCGTTAAAGGCAACTATAGATTGCTTTTGCTTGTTGTTCATTCTGTCTTCTTTCATTTTTCTGCAGCCTGTGGTTATCTGCTTGTCATTGTTTGTGTTGCACATCATAATATTTTACCATCCAAGAAAGTAAGAAGTCAGATTTACCAACAGGGTTCCACTCTTTACACCATCACTGCTGTTATTGTATTCCTCCTCCTACAACTGTGGTGCTTTCACAGACAAACACAGGGCAGGCACATGCTGGTTTTCCAATGCTTCGGTCTGGTCACTGAATCACAGGTAAAAAAAAAATCTACTAAAACAGCTGTTTGCCCATAATTGGGTAAAAAGCAATCGTCCAGTAATGTGAGATTTCAGCACAGCAGGACTGTGGTGCTCCATCGGAGATGCCTGAGGATTATGGGGGATGATCTGGTTCTGGGTCTGGACTGTTCTTGCTCTCCAGTGTGTGTTGTATGTCTGTCAACAGGAGCTGAATCATGGACTTTGTAAATGGACATGAATCTTCATCACCAATCCCACAGCCATTAAAAAGCATGTTGTAGATTTTGTAGCGATACATCATGAACGAGGTTCTGCCAATATTATCTCCCCTGCTTACCTCTCTCTGCCTTCTCCTCCTCCCTCCTCAATAAAAATTCCTACAAGTTGCCAAGTTGCTTTTTGTTAAGGCCAAAATGTTTATAAGCGGATGTTTGTAGTGGTGTTTTTATTATTTTAATTGTCACAACTGCAGAAGACCCAGTTGAGAGTAATGTGCAAACATGTGTTTAACATCCACTGGGATCTGTGTCTATTTTAATGCTGAACACGAACGCAGTTGGTTTTTATTTTCGGACTGCTGACATGAGGTGCATACATGTAGGAAGGAGTTGTGAGAACACCGGAGTGAGCCAACAGTTGGGAAATAAAGGAAAGTGCTTTGCATTTTTGGTGGACATGTATTGATGATGTTTATGTGTATACAGTATAAGATGTGTAGTTGCCTAAGATGTGAACGTTGTCACGTTCTGTAATTCTCTAACAGGTACCAGTCTTATCCTGTCGTGTCCTGTTGATTCAGAATATTAATATTTAAGCCCATGTTTAAGGTCATTTTTAAACTAAGAACCATTGGTTTTTACACCCCATAGCTCATCACAAAAAATAATATTATTATGATAAATTGTCATTTACCTAATAAGAGTTAGAATTTAGCCACACTGACTGAACTGTACTCCAGTTTCCTTCTAAACTTCACTAACTGAATAACTCACATAATTACAATGGGAATCAACATTTCTACACTTATCACTGTTAGGAGCTCTAGTACCACCAGTGGTATGTAAACCTTAGCTTGAGAAACACTGTTCTAAACATATAATAGTAACCCTTACCTATTAAACACTCTGGACTCTTAAGTAAAGGCCTGCACAACAACTCAGAACACCAGGGTATATGTGAACTTATGACTGACACAGACACTGACAGCTGCACAAGCAAGTGCGCAGTTCACCCACATAAACTCCCTCTAACACACACACACACACAGCACTAATGACAAATCAGGAAACACGTTTTCAACAAAATCTGTAAAAGACACATTGCTCCAGGAAAAAGATCTAAAGACCTGCATATTATCCACCGACATGTATATGCACACACACAAGTACATACGTTTGTACACTCCGAGGAAGAACGTTCACAGCTAGGGCCCATAGGAGCAGCTTGTGATAATAACAGTAATCAAGAGCAGACTGTGCAGGATTTGGAAAAAGCGCTGAAAGGAGTGTTTTTAAAAGGGAAGGCGAATTGTAGGATTTTGCAAGTGAACGACAAGAGCGATGGTCTCACACAGCTGGTTTCCATTGCTCTTAATTGCCTAGAAGGCCAGAGGAAAAGACACCAGCAAGCAGTGGGACTGACAGTCTCTCAAAAAGCCACATTTCACAGTGGTCCGTGGACACAGACGTTATTCTGTGGAGAAAAGTCCAATCATAACAGACACAGAAACACGACGGGCGTAAAAACATTGTGCTTCTGAAGTGGAGTTTGCAAATTTACTGTCCCGGTTTCTTGTGTTTTGCTGAGGTGTGAGAGAACATGTGACTCAGCACTGCATTCAGCACAGCTGTGGGAACAAATGTGCTACGTCTGAAAAATATTTCTTTTTTTGTAATGTCTGCGTTTGGTGTTTATGCAAGAATGCTAGGAGTCAGGTTTGTTGGCTTGTGGTTTTGCTGCTAAGGTAGATTATTTAAGGAGACAGACAGGTGTTCTAACTTGCTGTAGAAGCAATGATACGTCGTCCACAATATGTATCCTAACTTACATACAGTTAATACCAACATGGTGATGCTGATGAGTCGGAAGATGAAGTATAGCTTCACAACATACTCCATGATTCTCATTCTGATGCACTAATGGTTAATGCTGTATGATTTTCTGTTGTCTCCCCCAGAACACATCATCTAAATTACAACTCCAATCTCATAAATTCACAACTTTACCCTCATCATTTTTTTATATTTTTTGCCCGTCCCTGTGGCCTTAATACTCAGTCATAGCTGGACATACTGTAAATAAAGGTAGAAAAAAAAGTCATCATGGCTGCAGTGGGGGTCCAGATGTAAGTCCACTCTCACTGACCAGCAGCAAAAGGTCAGAAACGATAAAGAAGTCTGACTGAACTTTTTCACACATTAACCTGTTCTTGGTCTAGGCCGAGTTTGTGTTTTTAACCCTGAAATTATAACCAACCAGTCTCTCTTTTTCAGTCAAGGCTGTTCTCTCCCCTCATGCCAAATTAGGTTCCTTAGCGCTGCACCACACATCCTTGATTCCTTACCCTCTCTGTCTGTCTCCAGATTCCTTTTTAAAGCCCTTTAACCTTCTTTGTCTGCCTCCCAGCCTCTCCCTCCTCCTCCTTCTTCTTCTTCTCCTCCTCACTCTTATTCATGTGTGGCAGCCTGACCTCTGTTATACCTCAGCCCCATGTTACAGTGTAATGAGAAAGACTGTAATAAATATCACTGGGATGACATTCATTGTCTGCTGCTGCGCTGTAAAAAATAATGTATCAACTATATTGGCTTCAATGCAATGGCTGCACAAATTCCTTTGCTCGAGCACTACACCTGTTTGTGTGTGTGTTTGGGTGTGTGTGCACATGGAAGCATGCATATTTGACAGTGGAGAATTAACGGTCTTGTCAATATGCTGAGATGGAGTGGAGCGATCCCATTTAGTTTAAGTCAGTGGGCCGTAAGTCAAAGTGATTTTAAAGGGTGTTATTTTTTATCCCATTAGGTTAAATTAGCATAACAAACACTTATATCCTAAGGCAAGAGTTAGACATTAACTGGTTTTGGTTAAGGTTCGGGTAGAAGTAATAGTAATCTTGTAGGTGATTAAAACCACATCCAAATAAGGCAGAGCATCATGTTTTTACTATCGGATAAAGACAGGGAATATGGGACTTACAGTGACCTTTACGTTGTCTATGCAGCTCATTTTATTTTTAGTATGACTACTGTGTAGTGCTACCAAACTGGAAGCATGTCATAGTATTTACACAGGTCTCCTAGGGCTGTGACCTCTTTCTGGCGAGACAGTGTGATAAGTCCTAGGTTAAAAGTCAAAAAAAGTATGTGGGGAGGGGGTATTACATTTCAGCTACACATCTAAAATATCCTTCGCAAAAGTCTTGCTCCACAAAGTGGGTTTGAAGTGAAGATCTATAAGACATGGTGGAATACAGAATAAGATCAGTCAAAGCTGTTCTTCCAAAAAAAGGAAATGTAATAAATGAGACAGAAGCAGTTAGTGTGACCTCCTGGGACCTCCACATTATGACCTTTTATGCAGAAGTGCAGAGAGTGTTTTGCATTATTTGCACATAGGTTCCCAGTGTTTATTTACAAATAGTTTGGCTAATATGACTGAATGTATTAGGTAAATAAAATATTGCAATGTAAACAAAAGTGACCATATTTGATCACAGGGATGACTTGAGCCAGTATCGGTTCGATATTGGTAAAACTTTCAGGACCAAAGAAACGACGAAAACAACTATAACCCGTCTGATCTGATACCCTACACCTGTGGAAACAAAAAAGAGCCGCCGACTACTACGATGCCTTTAATTTTATGAACCGCTGGTCTTTGTTTACCATTGTGTTAAACCCGACAATAGTCTTCAACCAGATGCATTTTTTTCTTCCGTCTGTGTTGCTATTGTCCTTTGTTTCTCTCACCACCTCTTTATCTCTGCGCCCTCTCCAGGTTCATCAGTACTACAGCTCCTTGCCTGAGGACAAGGTGCCCTACGTGAACAGCCCAGGAGAGAAGTACCGCATCAAGCAGCTGCTCCATCAGCTGCCACCCCATGACAATGAGGTGAGAGCCCAAAATTGCCTATATCGTCAATCCATCATGCTCTCCCCTTCCTCCCTTCTCCAACTCCTTCAGGGCAGTAGAGATAAGAGAGGTGAAGGAGTGGACTAAGGGAGTGGGATGTTTCCTCAGAAATAAGTTCACATCAATCACTAGAAAAATAGGACTAGAAAAATTAATCTAGGGTTTGTTGTTCTGCAAACCACTGTGGCTCACCCTGTAACCTCTCAGTGATTTCTTTTAAACATCCATAGACAGAGTTCAGAAATGGATACAAAAAGCTGTGCCAAATATTACAAGCAAAAAAAGGGAAAAGCCAAAAAGCAAAAACTAAACCATTTACCAGCATAGCAAGCAAATAAGTAGTAGAATTTCACAGAGGGTGAAACAGAATAGCTAAAGTTTGCCCAAATAACTCCAAAGAAAGTTTGACTGTGATTTCTGTGTGGGGTGTGTCCAGGTGCGCTACTGTAACAGTCTGGACGATGAAGAGAAGCGAGAGCTGAAGCTTTTTAGTAACCAGCGCAAACGAGAGAACTTGGGCCGTGGCAACGTCCGCCCCTTCCCTGTCACCATGACGGGGGCGATCTGCGAACAGGTGAGTGACAAAAACATCATTTCTGTAGAGATACTGGGATTTGATCTGTAACCTCAGTTCATGACTGAGTGTCCAATCACCTTCCTGCGACAGGAGAGAATTAAGTGACAAAGGTAAAGATGTCACCTGGTGGAGCAAAGCTACAAGAGAGATTTACTCTCTCACACTCCCTCTCCCTCTCCACAGCCATCTACTGTCCTCTACTGAAAATTTTATGATGTACAAGATGTCTTTTCTGTTGACATATGTAGGACAGAGAAACGAGACTTGCCGGTTGCCATAAATTTTTACTGACCTTGTGATAGTAAAGATATGTTAGCGAATTAATTAAGATTGAAAAGTAATATGTTCACTCACCATAACTACAGGTAATTAAAAATATATATATATATATTTCAATTGCTGCTATTTGATAGCAGGGTGACATTTGTGTGGGTAATGTAATTAAAAACCAAGTGAAACTAAAACTGATACGCAGTTGTTAATAAGTAAAAAAAAATGTGGATTTTATTTTATGATCTTATGGATATGTATATTTATGTGTTCATATGTATAGATATGTGTTTATATACAGTATGTGTGTATATATGTCGAGTGTGTGTTTATATTTTTTTTCAGGATTGTCACAGATTAAGTTGCTTTACAATGTTGCCAGGTTAGTTTTTACAAAAATGTACAAATGTAGCAGTGTCTCATTAAATATTTACTGTGTTATTTTGGATGTTATCTCTTCCTGCAGTGGCCTTATGGGATGGAGAGTGCAGGGATATGTTGTTTACAAAAGCGGAATTGCTCGCTCCAGCATCCACTACCCATTTGTTTAAAAGGGCCTTACACTGTGTCAACTATTTTTTGCCATGATCACATTGGGCTTCACAAGTTGTGTTTCCAGCACATGCTAACACACACACACACACACGTAGTAGATTCCTGTCTGTATGTGTGTACTGTGTAGGGTAGTTTAGTTTAGCTAAACTATTGTAGTCTTTACTACGGATTTACATTGATCTCAACAGTGACAAATACTGAGGGTAACAGGATAACAAACTGTCTAAACTAAAAGACTAAACCGTCTTTGTCCTGTGTGTCTGTTCAGTGTGGAGGCCAGATAAACGGCGGCGACATTGCTGTGTTTGCATCACGGGCAGGCCACAACGTGTGTTGGCACCCAGCCTGCTTTGTGTGCAGCATGTGCAAGGAGCTCCTGGTGGACCTCATCTACTTCTACCAGGACAGCAAGATCTATTGTGGGCGCCATCATGCTGAGAGGCTGAAGCCACGATGCACCGCCTGTGATGAGGTAGGTGCACATTAATTTGGTAATTTGGTTTAACTGGTAAATCACAGCTGATACTTTTCAAACTAAATTCTAATACTATATAATATTCCGTGTTGAATATGGTGCTGAAGTGTGAGTTGGGTTAGGTATTGTCCAATTCTTTATATATATATATATATATGCACTGTGGTCTGATCTGAACAATAAAAGACTCCTTTGTGCTGAAAGCATTCATATACACTGCTGTCTTTCAACACTCACTGTCTCAGTTTTACAAATGCCAAGGTTTTGTCAAGTCTAATGGGGGTCACTTCTTAATATGGTGATCTCCAATCCATTAACCCTCTGCAAATGGGGACAACGACACAGTTTGCACTTAAAATAGCACCCAAGTGATTCACCAGCAGTGTAATTAAAAGTAAATACCATCTAGGTCTCTCCACTCTCATTAGCCTCCTACACCACTCAGTGTCAGAGAGGGTGATCGAAGAGAGCGTGTCTCTGAAGGAGAGGGAAGGAGGGAGGACGGACGGGTCTTTGTTCTGTCCTTCTGCAGCTTTCAGTGAGGACACCACTGAGGTTCTAGCTCTTATGGACCTGGGATAAATATGCAGGCTTGGTTATTTCTCCTTCCATAGATCATCTTCGCCGATGAGTGCACCGAGGCAGAGGGGCGCCACTGGCACATGAAGCACTTCTGCTGCTTTGAGTGTGAAACTGTGCTGGGGGGTCAGCGCTACATCATGAAGGAGGGACGACCCTACTGCTGCTCCTGCTTCGAGTCTCTCTATGCTGAATACTGTGATTCCTGTGGGGAACATATTGGTATGCCACCAGCATTCAGCATATATCACTCGTAACACGACATCATTATTTGCCCACAGGTCTTTTAAAGGATCTTTTTGCAAAAAAATGTATGCTGCAGGACTAAATAGATTATATCAAGTTACTATCATTATTGTAGAATATACTACTGTTTTAGTTTCAGACCAACACACAGTCTGTGCCTCCAATTAGCATCAGTCTTAGTACAATACAACCTTAGAGAAGCATCATCTATGAGTGTTTTCTTTACCTATATGGGCTGGGTAACATACACAATGGGCAGAGAAATGCTATTTGTTCAAATTGCCCAGAGTTTTCCTTTAACATCTTGCACACTTATGTTTTACTATTTTACAGTGGGATCACTTTCCAGTGTACAGTATAAATGTAGCGTCCCACATCTCCAAGCCACCTGCTGTGACAATCTGTGTGTCTATGTGCATGTTTTCACAGATTTCCCCACAAAGTTTTGTTAGATCTAAGTCTAAATGTCCTGTAATTATTTGTCAGACAGGATACAGAAAAGTATTTGGATGAAAAGGACAACTGATGAAAAGATGATAACATCAGGGAAGCAGTTTTAAAACCAGATGGTAGCCATTCACAAATACCTGTTTCTCTCGCTCTCTCTCTCTCTCTCTCTCTCTCTCTCTCTGTTTCGCTCTCTCTCTCTTCTGCCTGTCTCCGAGACACCTGGAAACATACCTACAGTAAACCACAGGTTGTTTATTCGGGTCTGGACTTACAGTCAGTTCTGTAATGGCTCTTCAAGGTCTTGTTGCGAGTGGTTTCACATGGTTTGGCTTTGACTGTGCCAACTCTAGACTGCAGTTATCTTTAAAAGTTGTTGATAGCCTGTCTCCCTGACATTCTTTCTACCATGGCAAGACCAAACATTGCTGTAGATACTATCTGTAGTCTATCAGGTCCACCCAAAGGCATGTGTAAGTCAACAGAGGCCCAGCGACTTCACAGAAATGTCAGTCTGAGTGCTTTGTGAAACTACATCTGGAAAATATGGTTAAGTTTTTTAATTCTCTTTTAGGCATCGATCAAGGCCAGATGACGTATGACGGGCAGCACTGGCATGCCACTGAAGGCTGCTTCTGCTGCGCCCGCTGTAAATGCTCCCTGCTCGGCCGACCTTTTCTGCCAAAGCAGGGCCAGATTTTCTGCTCACGCTCCTGCAGTCTGGGGGAGGAGCCTAATGGCTCTGACTCCTCTGACTCTGCTTTCCAAAGCGCTCGCTCCACACGAGAGTCCCGCCGCAGCTTCAAGATAGGTAAGGGTGGTGAAAGTGGTGTTGTGTTGGGACAGAGATTCTCTGGTGAGGTGGACCCTCTCTCTGTACAAATGGATCTTTTGAGCCTCTCCAGCCAAACGCCCAGTTTGACTCGCGAGCCGCCAGCTTGGCAGAATCAAGAGCAAGAAGGCGACCGATATAGTTATCATGCACAATCAGAGCTGCCCTTGAACCCCACCCCTCTTCAGCTCCTCAGCCAGTGCAATGTCAGGACTACATATTCCTCCACCTGCTCAGTGAAGAATAATCAACAGCAGGATCATAGGATCCTGGACAATGCGTGCCTAAATAGACCCCCCATCTCAGCTATCAAGAACCAGTCTCTGAACGAGACGTGGTTCCAGCAGACAACTCCAGCGGAGTTCTACCCTCCCAAACTGAGGACCCAAAAGAGCTTCACTGAGGTTTCTCACTGCTCCCAGTACCATAACGGCTTTACTGCCGACAAGCGCTCAATCAGTTTGCATGGCTTCCAGACGGACAGAGGTGCAGGGATGCCAGCAGCAAACCAAGTGGCCAGAAACAGAAACCCCATCAATGCACTTAGCTTCCCAGAGCAACTGACCCCTCTGGAGCAAACCCCAAGAGGGTCCATGGAGTCATTGGCCCTGTCCAATGGTGTTGGTGAGTACAGCATGAGACCTGTCAGTACTATCAGAGCACGTTCTTGTCGGATTATCATGTTCCATGTGATTATTTATGGTTTCATTTTAATTATAACACGCATTTTAATGAGACTTGTTTACTTTTTTAGGAAACTCATCAGATGGAAGAGGAAAACGTCCGGAACATCTTTCTCGCTTCTCCATGCCTGATTTGAGCAAGGACTCAGGAATGACTGCGTTAGAGAAAACCAACCAGGACATTATAAACTCTTCGGTTCAATTTCGTAACTCTGACTCTGTGCACAGCCTCACTGCAAGTCAACCATACATGGAAATGGATCAACCCAGGTCCTCTCAGTATAAGGTGCAGTATAGTAATGCTCCCAGTACAGGTGGAGGTAGAGGTAAGACTCATTTACCATCTGGCTTCACCTACCAGGAAGATGATAGAGTTAGTTTGGTTAGCAGCGCCAATGCTGCTCGATTGCCGCCCATCAGTGAACGCATGGTTAGTGGCGTTGGCAATGGCAGAGGAACAAGTGGTCAAATGGAGGCCCCAGAGGACACTCCTCAGAGGCGCCGGCACCACCATCACAACCGTTCGCGGAGGTCTCGCCGCTCTCGCTCAGAGAACGCTCTGAATTTGGTAGCACAACGGCGGTTCCGACCTCAAGAAAGGCCACACTCACATGTCCGAGAGGATTACGACCGATTCCCACCACCAAGAAGCACCAGGGACCATTTTGGTGTAGGTGGAGTCGGGAGTCAGTATCAACCCCAACTCTTTAGAAAATGTCCAAGGACAACTTCAGACTTGTCGCTCCAGAACCCTGGTGCTAGCCGGCGCACTGGTTTGAACCAGTATTGCTGGGATGATTATGATGATGACTGGTGCTCCACCTGCTCTTCATCGTCAGAATCAGAGGATGAAGGGTACTTTCTGGGTGAGCCAATCCCCAGACCTGTCCACATGCGCTACCTCAGCAATCAGGACCTTGTACAAAAATTCAACACAGGAATGGGAGGGGCCAGCCGTAGTGGGCAGTTGTACACGCAGAAACGCAGAAAGAGCAAGAACTGTATCATATCCTAACAGTCTGGACCTGACACTCAACAAGTTCAAAATGTGCTTATTTCAATGTTGTTACATGTTGAGTATCATGTATTTGAACGTTGGTGATGAATAGCAGTTGGTAAACCGTGAGTAACCAAACAGTGTTTGCGTGTTGGTTAAATTAAATATCTCTGCCAATTTGTTGGTTTTACTTTACACTACATGGACTTCAGCTTAGTGCTTTTTGCAGTCAGCAGTCTTTGAGATACAAAAAGAAACAGAATTTGAAAGACAGACTAAAGGAAAAGAATGAAACATCATTTGCTTCTTTTTGAAGGTTTAACAAAGAGAGTTACTGAGAGTGCACTCTTATAGTAGAGCAATCGTACCACACCCAAACACATTTGCCCCCTACAGTCCGGATTCTATGGCTAGTGTGAGCACTTCCCTTCTATGGCACAGTTGGAAGTGGTGGGCCGAAGCACGGAACACTTGGTAACACATGCGCAAAAGCACGGTTTCGTACATTTCCTGCTGCCACCACAAATATCTTTGTATGCGTACAGCACGATTGACTGAAAATTGCCACTTCGCACAGTCTTTAATTCAAAACATTGACGAGGGCTGACTATTTTAAAGATGCTTCACGACGATGTGTGTGTGTACGTATATGTCAGAGCTACTGGGCTTCAGCTCGCTTGCTTTAGGGCAGGGGAAACATTTGGCCTTCAGTGCGTTCCGGAATAACTGGTCCCAGTGTGAGTGCACCCTGAGGGGCCACACGGTCCGGTTCTTATGTACAGTCTAATGTTTTAACTCTTGGGAGTCAGTCATTTATTGACCTCAGCTAAAACCAGAGGAGCTACACAACACTGGTCCATCCCCCTAACATTTTTCAGGCCATTATTCCTTGTGTCGCTTATCACGTGTGTTTTTGTGAAAACATTCATCTCTGCTGCTCCTGCTCTGACACTGTTCACACTCCATAGTTGCCAGTGCTTCTTGTAGTGTGGATTTGTTATTGTCTCATGCATTTAAATTAAACCGCAACGTTCAACAGAGCTTAGTGTGCATTTTTCACCCTGACTTCAGTTTCACTGATAAATGTGGAAGGATTTGGAACAAATAGACAAAGCACATACTGTTCTGTTCAGTTCATAGTGTGTACATAGACAAATGAATTAATAATAACATTTTAAGTTAAGGAAGTCTGTGTAAATATGGATGTAAATGAGGCCTCTCATATTTTTATATTTTGTATGAATAGAATCCTGTATGTATTAAATAACTAATGTAGAAATAGACAAAAAAAAAACATGCATGTTTTACTGACTGACTTGATCCTTTGAATTAAAGGAATATTTCAGTGATCCATTTGTTTGTTTATTGGCTATTTTGAGAATAACATTTTTTTATGAGCATGCGACCCATTTTGCTTAAAATAAGCAGTGGAGATTTTGGTAAAGTAATTTGGTAAAGTTTAGTAATGTCAAAAACTTGATGAAATTGAGAAATAGTCTCAAGTTACACAATTATTAAATATATTAATATATGGTTGTGTATATATGCATATATAAAGTATATATATATTTATATACGTGTATATGTACATACTATATAAATGTTTAAAGAAGGTTTAAATGAGTACTATAATATCGTCTTTCAAATTGCTTTATCAGGGTCTTTTTTTATTATTATTTTCAAGACCCCTGGAAATACCCACCTGAAGCATACAAGGTTTTTCCCTAATGTTTGGTTACGTTTTTCTGGAAATGTTTGAAATGCCCTTGAAACGCATTGACAGGAGCAAACAGTGTTTCCTACCTCAGTGTCTCCTGTGTACATATTCATGCACAATGTCTCTGGTTGGAATTACAATGTGCTGACGAGAATCACCCTCCACTGCTGTGTTAATACAGAACATGTATTTAGATGGTAATGGTCACATTTAAATATACTGAGCTCCATTGTTCTGAAAGATCTGCTGACACCCGTGGTGAGGTAATGAAATTCAATGATGATGTGTTTCAGGACTTTTGTTGTTTGGGGGGTTCGTCTCTGGTTTACCAGAAAAATGTAATTTGTGTGTGTGTGTGTGTGTGTGTGTGCGCGTGTTTACTAAATGCAAACACATGGAACCTTGTCTATATACTCTATTGACTTGGCCTGTATGTATAGGTTTTCACATTTACAGCATTACTGGTTTAAATGTGCATATTGAGTTGACCTTGATGGTGGACTTGTTTTTTCTAAAATAACTGTTTTCCAGGTTTCACTTCTGGAGCCAGGTGGCTTCATCCATTTCTTATATATGATCTATTTTAATGTAAAGGTTTCGTCAAGTGTTAGGCATACTGTCAGTCTGCTACACAAACAGACTAATACACACTTACACCGTAACAAGTTGTTTCAATGCGAATCTCGGAATTAAAGGACTAAAAGCTCTTGACATGGTTGGCACATTAGCACAATTAGTTTATCTTTAATCCAAAACTCAGAGACTTGAACTCCTGTTTTCACTTCTATCCTGGATGCCTCACTTGCTGAACAGATTGAGTCCGGGGTCCTACTCCAATTGAGGTTGTGCAGTGACAAAACTTGACAAAACCAAGACAACACAACTCTGGTAATCCTTTTCTTCTGTGAGTAAAGTACCTATTCCAAGCAAGAGAACAGTGTCATCTACACTATTGCTAGACTGGCAGGTTCTTTATTCATCCCCACCTCAGAGCCAAAATGGCTTGGAATCAAAAAGCTTCTTTCATTGGCCTAGTCCGTAGTGTCACTGTGTCCTGACATGTGCAGTTATAGTCAAACCTCTTTCAGTTTCTGTGTGTTGTTGCTGCAGGACCTGTATGATCTGAAAACACCCCGCAGAGTCGGAGTACAATGACAGTCAGACGTACAGTCAGAATGGTCTCAACACAGTTTGACTGTGTTTATTGTCCAACTCATCCATGTGGGATTTTTAATGGAGATAAACCAATGTGTCGGTTGTGGTCCTTTAAAATAAAAAGCCACACACATTCATTCATGCACATGTGTTTTTGGGTTGTGTGTGAGAGCCCGGATGCACAGCTGTCATGAGTTGAGGCCATTTGCCATTTTGGGGGAAATTCTTACTGCTATAATTACAGATCGTTTTAGAAGCAGGACAGCTGCACATTAGAACAGGTCTTGAAGATGACTGAGATAAAATGATGCAATGATTTTATAAATTAAGAATACCAAGGGTGTGTTGTCACAAACATTGTGATTATGTGCAGGCCTGGTAAATAGAAGACTCATGACAAGACTGACTGGGCCTTGGCCTGCGTTTTTACCTCCTCTATCGTCACCATCATGTGGTTTCTATTACCATTTCGGGAACAAAAACAGAACCAGGTTCACAGTCAAACAGTACATCACACACCCAGAACAGATTTCAGTAACTAGCTTTACTTGTCAGCAATAAACTTCAACAAATCTGAAGAAAAATGTCAGCAAAGACCTAGGCATAGACACCAACAACTCAGGGTCTTAACTGTGCCCTGATGTCTGAGGACATACAACAGGGCTTTGACTAAAATTAGGTTGAGATGTAACTAAGACTTAACCGTGTTTTTTTTTTCTCTCTTCTATAATTTGGCTTTGATTGTGGGCTTGAATTCTCTGCAGGTTTAAATTGGCCAGACTCTTTTGCGACTTGGCCATGGAAGCAAATATTTGCGTTATGGTCATTGGATTACTCCATGGGGTTATAAGTGCAGTGAGAGATTTTCAGATTTGAGAGGATTTCTACCCACCACCACCACCCCACCCCCTCTCTCTGTCTGTCTCTTTTTTGCAGACACTGCTTTAACATTCCAGCCTCTTTATCCCTACATGTAAAACCCACTTACATCTTGAGGTGTTAATATGCTGTGACAGTAAGTCCATTGTCCATCTGCTGCATTTTTTTTTACTGTCATCCAAGCAGTTGTAAGTACAGAAAGAAAGGACCTCAACTGAACTTGCTAATCTTTAAATCCACTCTCAGTCACTCCAGTCCTCATTGAATCAAGGAGGGAGGTTCAACATTTCCGTATCATTTATTTCTTATTTATGCGAATATATATATACAGTATATATAATTACGTTTTAATCTTTAAATGTATAGTTATTGATCATTACTGTATGTGCTTCGTGGGCTGTGGTAGAGTTTGTTTCGCCGGCCCATAGCAGGCGAAGGAATAAGAGCACCACCTGTTGGGGCCACTTTGCCATTACAGAGGCATTTGTTACGGTAGTTGTCCGCTTGTTGAACGTGTACCATCTCTATTTTTCTGTCGACGAAACTCAAACTTGCCAAACGTATTCTCAGCAAAGTGTGATGGAATTTTACAAACTTTTAATTATTATTCTTTATGGTGCCTTCACATGCCCCTAGGAAAATGTGAAATCAGAGCTACAATTGTGTAATACTCAAGTGATTTTGGAGGTTTTCTTTCTCTCAAAATACATGCATCAAAACAGAATCGGTGAATACAGTGTTAGTTTTATAGACAGTTGTACAATATGGTAAAGACATGAAATGTAACTTATAGTAATGTAAAACTTGTGCTTTATAACCATGGTTACTACTGAATCGTTGAAAGCGAACAATAAAATATCCAAACACATTTATGTCAGTCATGTAAAACATTATTGATCTGTCATATATGAGGTACAAAATGTGTAAAACTCAAACAATCGAAAAACACAGTTATACAGCTCTCTCTTATTTGATCTATGACGTGTAAGAAGACAAAACACCTTGGTCCAAAACTGTGTGACTTGAAATAATTAAATGAACATAACAATACAAGTGAATGACTTCACCCATCTGGCTTTTAACATTGTACCTACTTTGAACACCATAGCTTCATAAAGATCGGAATATTTTCCCCCTTAAATGTAAATGTACAAATGGAGGTTTGGGGCCAAATTGGAGGAAATGACAAAGATCGGAATATTTAGGTTTGGGGCCAAATTGGAGGAAATGAAAGATTTAATCAAATGATAGGCTGATAGGCCAAGGTAGGAATGCCTGTGAGAGTTTAGGATCAAGCATGAGATGTCCCTTCTTTTGTTTTTAATGTTGTACCTTAACTGCCTTTATAACTTTGTCTCCATCCTCTTTCTCTCTGCAAAGGATTTTCCACACACAGTGATTGCTTTGAATTCTTCAGCGATCTGTAGAATGGTCTTTTCTTTGGTCTCAGGCAGCAGAAAGAAGGTGTAAAGGAAGCCCACGAGGCAGATGGAGGCAAAAAACACGAAGCTGTACGATTTCATGTAAGTCTGCGGGCAGACGTATGAAAAATCAGGTATTTCAATTACAATCATTTTCAATTGAATTACTATGCTGTACCAGTGTGACACTGTACTCTTCATTTAGTGTTTTTTGCTCACCAATATGAATGGAAAAACCAGACCTATCAGAGCCATCGTCAGCCAGCGCTGGGTTCCTGAAATGACGAGTGCCGCCACTCGATCAGACTGGACGAACAGTTCACTGCTGAGGGTAGCACTTACTGTAACTGTAAGAGGGGAAACATTTTCTTGAACATACATTGTCCTTTGTTTAAAGTACTGCTAATTGTAATATATGCATTTATTGGCACTGGTTAATAGTATAAGACACCAACTCTACTACAAAAATAAATAATACTGTTAGTTTCAACAATTGATTGACTACTGGTATACACATTAAAGCACATACGGCATCCTCCACTGAAGGCAACAATGAACAGGATAATCAAACTTGCAGTGATGTAGGGAACCCAGGAGCTGGGATTCTGTAGTTCATGAATGACATTATTGAAATAATTAGCCTTCAAACAATAGCACCAGGAGGACAGTTTTCATTCGGTTAAAATTCTCAGTTCACTATCCACGGCTAACCACATGAATTCAAGATGGCGGACTCACCGTCAAATTCAATGTGACAGTAACCAACACCCAACAAATGGTCATGATAGCGTAGCCTCCAGTAATCATGGGCTTCCTACCAGTGCGCTCAATCAGCAATACTCCCTAAAAGAAAACATGTACGAAAAGCTTTTTTTTTTTTGGTCATTATTCAAGTTCAAATAACTGTTTGGACCTAAAAAAAAAAAAAACCGTTTAAGTCTAAAACGATTCTAGTTTTTAATGTTTAACATAAAAATATTGTGCAATTACTAATTGATCCAGCACAGGGTGTTAAAACCACATTTAAGTTAAACAGCGTGTGCCACGTACGTGCCGAATAATGTTCGAAATGTGAGGAAATGACATATTTATCATCATCATCGTTGTTGCTTCTATTTTGACCTCCAATATTTCTTAACCTTTTACACCCAATAGCGGTTAAAACGTACTTCCGTGACCCAGAATGCTACAGCATGATACGAACAAAACAGTCAGGCTCATTCTACTCACTGAGAGGACAGAGGATAGGATTTCAGTAGCACCAAGACCAAGGATGATGTAGCGGATATTGTCTGAATGAATGCCAACTTGTACGAAGATATCATAGGAGAAATTGTTGATCTACAAATTAGATTTCATGTCAGATTATTACAATATTTACAGTACCTATGTATTCAGTTAGTAGCCAAAGAAAGTTTTCTCCTCACTGCAGAAGATCCTGATAGTTGGTTGCAGCCGTAAATGAAGGCCATGGTAATGAGCTGCCACCGAACATTCCTGTTCCTAATCAGCTGCAGAGGGGTTTTTGGTGGAGCTGCTTCCATGGCAGCCTGCTCAGCCAACATGTCACCAATCTCTTCTTTGTAATCACCGGGTCCCCAGAGACTCTGCAGAGCTGAAAATAAATGATTCACTCACCACATTTAAATTGAATCGTCATTCAATCGTTGGTGTTTCTATGTAAATAGTATATCGATGTATATATCTAAGGATGTCTGCACTGAATGTATGTCTTTGACTAACCTTTCTTGCACTCCTCAATCTTTCCTTTCTCAATGAGTAAATATCGTGGAGCCTCGGGGAAAAATGGCAATGCTACTGCATTGACCAGTGAGAAAAACAAAGGAATGCACAGAAGAACATTCCACAGCTGTTCACGACCCAAGATCTCACTAGTGAAAAATACATTGATATATTAAATACTTGACATGTTTTCTGGCTGCCTTAGGTTTGAACCTAAAAATCTCACATTTGAAAAAAAACAACAATATTGCACAGTTTAAAGTAACTTTTAAAAGCATGTTATCACAAAAGTGTAGAAGTAAACTGATAAATGTGTTTGTTATAAGGTAACAGGATGACAACTTCAAGCCAGACATTTACTAAAGGTTAGTTATGAAGTCACTCAAAATTGCAAAAGAGTCGCAGAAGAGGTCATGTTAATGTGAAAAGACCAAATACTGTCTCTGGACATCTACATTTAAATTGTATAAGGAAAAATGTCTTCATATTTCTGATACAGTATTTATCCTAAAGCTTAGCTTGACTTTCATTTCAGAACATAATCAGAAAAGGTCTGATCTAGTTTAGTCTTGATTGTGACTCTTCTCAGTCTTCCTTTCTGTCTTTATAGATATTTATTGATATCAATGTGAAGATGATTTTTCCTTTTTCCATTTAATCTCAACTTTCTCATCTACACTCGACTGTCCATCCTGTGACATTGTTCTGCTTGGGTTTCACACATATGCTAGTATTGTCACATCACACTATTACATCAGTGTTGTCTTTGTTCTAGTCTTATTTAATTCTGCATTTAATGGTAAATAAGACCTTGATGACAGGTATGTACCTTAAACCCAAAAGCTGTCCTAACAGCTTGCCCAATGATCCAAAGGTCCCCAGAGTTAGAGTCACTGTCCCTCTTATTTTTCTGGGTGAAATCTCAGTGAGGTACAAGATATGGATACTCGCACTCAGACCTAAAGGTTGAAAAAAATGCAAAAACCTTTACATGACAGTATATGTTGGTTCTACCATATCCCTAATTGCACCTCCCGTGTGGCAGCCTGTGTCAGTTGCAAGGACTCACTGTAAATTTCCCCAATGTGCATTGTACAATATTATATAATATTAAAAATCAAATTTTACGATTTAACATGTATATACATATATGTTATATGTAAAATTATGTTGCTAACACAATTCATTGTTTGTTTGTTTGTTTGTTTTACTGCTATGTGATCATGTGTTAACTTTTATTTTACACAACAGATGGCACTGTCTTACCTGTGCATGATCCATACAGAAACCTTGCCAAGATCAACATTTCATAAGACCTGGCTAATTTACTGAAAAGCATAATCACTGCTGCTATGATGGCAACAAGGCTGTTGAAGATCATTGTCTTTTTTCTGATGGAACAAAAAAAGACACTTTGTGACTTAAGAAGTTCGATGAAGTCCACAAAGTTATTGTTTTAACTCCTTACCTTCCCAGCTTTCCAGATATAAACTTCACACTGATAGCACCAACGAGCCCACCAATGGCGAACATAGAGACTGTCAGGGACCAGATCATGGTGACCGTCTGTTGAGGTGGAACTTCTCCATGTCGTTCTGTCCAGCTGCTGTTGATGAAGCTTTGTATAAACTGAAAACAAAGTGACAAGGAAGCACATGTTAGTACTGTAGATGTTAGCAATTAAGGTGTTGAGCAGAGGCAAATCATAACCTGATAATAATTAGGGAAAGCAGTCGAAATTGATTATTTTCAACTTTTTTCAACTTTATTTTAATCCAGAAGTTCCCAAACATTTTTGGCTCCACACCCCCTTCCATATCCCAACCGCTTGATGTACCCCCTCCAAAATGCAACAAGTTTTCTTGTAAAGGCAGCATGTTTAATTGTGTTCAAATTATCGGGTGACACACATGTATATAGCCAGCATTTATTAATTATAGGTGTCAGCTGTTGACTTTAAATTTTTCATAAATCAGTAGAGCTCTTGAATTGAAGTGTTGTACCACTGAAATGACCACTCCTAAATCCTTAGAAAAGTAAAAGTAAACACCCATAAAGATACAATCCCTATCTAAAGGTAGTTGCATAAAGGTTTAGCATCTTAATATTTGGCCAAAGTTCACACACAGTCTTTTCTTGTGCAACCACTGGCTTTCAGACTGGGCATGCCTGTGGGCAAGTGATTTACACTCACTGGCGAGGGTGAACTCAGTGAAGTCGTGTGGAATCCAACATGAAAAGAGCCTCCAAATCCCAGAACGATAATGAGCAGCAGAGCATTTCCCCGGGTCTAAAGGGCACATCAGGATACGGTTGGTGGAAAATGACTCTCCTGTAGATTCATCAGACTTTCCATAGTCAACATGAAACATAAGCTGTCAATGATGAACACACTAACTACAATAAAAGGTTAGCACACCTTCCTAAAATGATTTTTCTGATAGTTCTTATTGTACTTGGAAAATGCATTGAAAGAGTCAAAAAACAATGTTGTCTTATTTCACAATTTTCAATGTTTTTAATAAAACATCTCTCATTTAAATATAGCATTTTAATTAAGTATTATATCTACACTCAAAAGTAATAGAAAAAGGAAATTAATAGAACTTTTACAATAAGAACTAAAACTTTGTAAAACTGTGAGTATGTCAAGAATATTTAGCCCAAATCACTCAAAGCTGCTATGTTTATGCCTAAATTTGTATTCCATTTGTTCTAATTATACTTTATGTACATTGGTGAAAAACATAGAATAAAATTATCATATTATAATCTACTGATTCCAATAGGACTTATAAATGTTGTAAATAATATTTAGTAGTCTTGTGAAAATCAGCAGATCAAAATGGGAAGAGGAGCTCACCAGTTGTTGCAGACGAGTCTCCATAGTGTCCCTTCTTTGGCCAAGCTCTGGACAGACTCATGTCTGATCCGAGACACACTTCAGTCATCCTACCGCTTATCATTAACTTGCCAGAGGTGCAACAATTCATGTTGGGAGAGAAGAAAAAAAAACTCACCGTTGCCCATCCAATGACTCAGCGAGACTTTATGTTTGTCTGACCTTTCCCTGACCAAAGTAAAGTAACTTCACAAATCAATAACTGTGATTGGATATGTTTGTTGATGGTTATACAGAGTTAGTGCTAATGTAATGAGTCACAACACATGTCAAGAGGTGCATTTATTAAAAGTGATGTGTAACATTTTCATTGTACAGTGGTAGCACATCACCTAAGAGTTAATAGAAAGACAAACAAAAGCACTTGTGTTTAGTGTTGGTTACAACAAACCTTTGGATATACTGTTCAACTGGTAGCACAGCGTTAGCAAGCAGCTTTGAGTTTCTAATTATTTTAGAAAACAATAATATATATATATATATATAGTGTAAAGAAGATCAATTTTTGCATATTTGTCAGGTTTTTTATTTTTATGAAAGAATATAAAAAATGTAATTTCTTTCAAGATGTTTAGAGCAAAATAGTTACCAAAAACTTTTTTTTTAAAATATATTGATACTTTAATCTTGGTAAAGAACCGTAGAATAACATTTTTGTCAATCACCATCATGTTTCACCCTGTGGTCATTCAAAAGGCTCTAAAGTGTATATATTACATGTAAAAAGTGTTTAATCAGAATTACAGGATGAGATTCATTCAAAACGGATGTTGTACCAGTACACTCAACAAGTAAACAAAGGAAATAAACCCTGCTAATCATATACAGATTGAGTGGTGACCAATGTATAAGATATAACTTATTTCAAGTAACGAAAGAGTAGAATTTAAACATGCATTTCATGATACACAATATCTACAAATATATATTATCCTATGGTTGTAAAAATTCAATATTTTATTACACATTTGTCAATAAAGATTCTCAGTCATCCAGGTCATGGTCAAGGTTGAAAAGTTCTGTTATGCAACCGGACGTGAAATTTTCACCTGTAGTTCTTACTCCTTCCCGACAGAAGGCAATATACTGTATGTTGTGGTGTTTATGTGCTGCGCTCTCTGCACTACACCACTGGTCGTTTCGGCGGAAGCGGAAGTGGAAGTTATTTTTTTCTGTAGTCATCGCTCGCTAGCTGCGGTTGCTAAAGCAGATACACAAAAGAAAAATCGTCCATTCGTTTGTAATTTTTGCTCAGACATTATTTTATAAAGATGCCTTTGGAAAACCTTGAGGAGGAGGGTCTGCCTAAGAACCCGGATCTGAGGATAGCTCAGCTGAAGTTCCTGCTCACCATGGACGGTCACCGACAGGATACCAAAGTGAAGACGGAGCTGATGGATGCCATCAAAGCTAACAGTGAGTTTGCACGTTTTTCTACTATGTCTGTCGTTGACATATTTAAATGTCTCTCCCTCTATTTATTCATGTCATTGGAATTAATGATAGACAGCAGGGCACATTTCTTTTATACAGTTCCACGTTTCTTTCCTTATATTTTCAAATTGTTAAGGGGATGTTAGCATTGTTAGCTTTAGTACTTAACGTCTTACAAGTAAGTACTGGTGGGTATGATGAAGTAATAACATCTTTGTTTGGTGATCTTTTCGATGATACTGCAACGAACAAAGTAGAGTTTTTTTCCTATGCCAAATTATAGTGTTGCAAGTGAATGTTGTAATACATGCCGTATACTGTATTTAAGCACTGGATTGCACATCCTAAAACGTAATTAAAACAACAATATGTCACCCAATAACGTACTTTAATCAGGGAAATTGGAAACTAGCAATTAAATGATGTAAAAGTATTAAAAGGAAACCAACCAATTTCTAAATGAGTCCCAACCATACGCTATAGCATATCGGTCTCTTTAGTCAAAGGCAATGCCACATGGAAAAGGCCATGTAAAATTCAGAGAGGGTAAACAAATGATTAACGCACTGTTTATAATGACATCGAACAAATTAAATGAGGCAGGAAAGGCTTTTAGTGAAGGAAAACGATAGAAAGCAATGTTCAATGTGCATGACCTTATTTACCTTAAAATTAAAGGCGTGCACTTAGGGCTTTGGGCTTCTTTCAGGATTACTCTCATTCAAAAAACTGCCTACTATTATCTATCAACCAACTATTATAGAGAAGACAATGAGACAACAGTGTGTATGCACTATCACACAACTCAGTTATTTTATGAGGTTACAGCTGAAAAAGATTAAGCAAAACTTTCCCATTTTAGAACCAAGTTCAAATAGTGTTGACGTTTTTAATAAGGGATACATTTGTAAACATCTTGCTGTGTTGTAGGATCCATTTCCCAATTAGTAGATAAATATATTTTTTGTTTTCCCAAAATATGTATTGAATGACAATAATAAGAATTGTCTCTCCTATAAAAGGAAACCAGAAGCCTCAGATTGTTTTCCTCTCTGTTTTCAGACATGGCACCATATTATGAAGGTCTGTGCAAAGATCTAAAGTGGCAGCTAGACAATGACCTTCTGAGTAAAATGAAGAAGACCAATGAAGAGGAACTAAAGCGATTGGACGACGTGTTGGAGGACGCAGAGAAGAACCTGGGAGAGAGTGAGATCCGTGACGCCATGATGGCCAGAGCAGAATATCTTATCAGAATTGGGGACAAGGTAAGGATAAATTGTTCTTTATTAACCATTCCATTGTTTGGAATAGTCACAAACATATTCACCTACTATTAGTTGTCTTGCAAAGAATGTTGGTATGTATTGATTATGAATAATTGTTAATAAATGAAAACGAATCATGATTTATTGCGAATAAAGCACAGCCTCAATGTAATTAATCAGATTAAAACCTAAAAGGTTAGGTTGACAACCCCAATAACTACGCAGACTTATTTGTCTTGTTTTTTTTTTTTTTTGTGGTGTCTGTCCACAGGAGAGCGCTCTGACAGCCTTCAGGAAAACCTACGACAAAACCGTGGCATTGGGCCACAGGCTAGACATTGTCTTCTACCTGCTGAGGATCGGTCTCTTCTACATGGACAGTGACCTCATCACTCGCAACTCAGAGAAAGCCAAAAGGTAAAAGCTAACTTTTATATCCTGTTGCAACAGCAGCGACACCAGAGCACAGAGTGCTGATCACAGATTTTTATTAATTTCTTCAGCCTCATCGAGGAGGGCGGAGACTGGGACAGGAGGAATCGTCTAAAGGTCTACCAAGGTCTTTACTGCGTGGCCATTAGAGACTTCAAACAAGCTGCAGAGCTCTTCCTCGACACTGTGTCCACCTTCACCTCCTACGAGCTCATGGACTACAAAACCTTTGTCACCTACACCGTTTACGTCTGCATGATTGCCCTCAAAAGACCCGACCTGCGTGAGAAGGTCAGAGAAGGGACCCACTAAATGCTCAAATGAGTGCAAGTGATATCAGTGGGCGGTGCTAATGTTTGTTTTTGTGCAGGTCATAAAGGGAGCAGAGATCTTGGAGGTGCTGCACAGTTTACCTGCTGTCCATCAGTATCTGTTCTCACTCTACGAGTGCAGCTACTCTGTCTTCTTCCAGTCTCTGGGTGAGAACACTGTTTAAAAATGCTGTCAGAGTAATGCTCTTAGGTTTTATGTTGTTTGAAAAATGGACTTTATAGTAATTTATGTTACATGTTCTAACTATTGTTAATTGTAAAAATATATTTTATATCCAAACAGTCTCTCAAATTTTAGCTCCACATTTTGAGGTTAAATTTGCTTCTTTTTTCTGCATGTGTATATATATATATATATATATATATATATATATATATATATATACATACATACATACACACACACACACACAGTGTGTGTAGTTTTAAGCAAAGACAAAACAGTGCACACACATTGTGAAATATGTAGAAAACGTTTGACTTGATAGTGGTTAATTATGATTAATTCATATAGAAATGCTAATATGTTGGACAAAAGTGGTTTTGCTCCTGCTTTTGTCCTGACTGTTGTCTCTTCATCTCTTCAGCCCAGGTGGAGCAGGAGATGAAAAAGGACTGGCTCTTTGCTCCTCACTACCGCTACTACGTGAGGGAGATGAGGATCCAGGCCTACAGCCAGCTGCTGGAGTCATACCGCTCCCTCACTCTGGGCTACATGGCTGAGGCCTTTGGTGTCAGCACGGAGTTCATTGACCAGTAAGTGTCTGCACATCACACAGAGAGTTAGACTCTGCATCAGGGCTAAAGCTAAGCACAGCCTCTGTAGTGTAGTAGGAGTCTTAGGTTTCACTGCCAATCAGCTTAATCTAATCATCTAATCATCAACTAAAATCATTTAAAACAGATGAGTCAACGTGATCTACTTAAGTTCAAACCAAGCAACAGAAATTAAAATGTAATGAGCTGTCGTAGGTGTCTGTGATGCACCAGGTGTTCTTTGTGTTTTTAAAAAGTACTGCTCTACTGGGACATCCCTGCATAAGCACCAACATAGTGTTCACAAAGGGCAGTCCAAAAAAGCAGATTTCCAATAAGCAGCAGTTCTCTGGAAAAAAAAACCTTTGAATGGTTTGTTAGTGAAATCAAATCAAATCAAATTTTCCAGTAGAAATAAGAGTGTCTCTGTTTAAGTAGCAGAGTGCACAACTGTTTTTTTTCCTTTCTAAATAATCTGGTAAATCATACGACGTAATCTGTTTTCCAGGGAGTTGTCCAGATTCATCGCTGCAGGTCGCCTTCACTGTAAAATTGACAAAGTAAATGAAATAGTGGAAACCAACAGGTAATTTTACTGTTGTCTAAACCTCTGTAAAACAAAGATGTTGCTCACAAACAAGTCAGACAATGCAATAAACCCTTTCCCTGTGGTTTCCAGACCCGACAGCAAAAACTGGCAGTACCAGGAAACCATCAAGAAGGGTGATCTTCTCCTGAACAGAGTCCAGAAACTGTCTAGGGTCATCAACATGTAAACCAACATGGTGCCCATGGTTCTCTTAGTTGCAGAAAACGTCATTTACCCAAAACCTGTTTATCCACCAACAAAAGATGTGTGTATATAATAAAAATGTTTTGTTTAAATGCTGCTCCTGTGATGGGCTGTAATGATTTCACAGACACATAGTTAATATAACAGTATGAATTATTTTATTTAAAGAAATTTGTTACAAAACAAATGCACTATACAATCTTCAACATCCTAAAAATCATGTTTCTTAAAAAATAAATAGAAATGCCCTAATTTGCCCTAATTAAAATATAGCATTTTAAAAAGTTTTAGAAAAAAGATATTTGAAAAAGGTATAGAAAAGATTTTTTGAAATTTTTTTAGAAAAAAAATTGTTTTGACAGATTTTTAAGAAAAAAAATTGGTTAGATAAAAATCTTTGAACAAACAAATTTCAGAATTTTATGTTTTCTGCATATTTCTCACCAAATTATAGCATTTAAAAAAAATTGTGAAAAAAATTATTTTTTTAATTTTTTGGAAAAATCAGAATTTCGCATGTCATGTTGGTCAAAAGTTAAAAAAAGTTTCATGAAAATCTTTGAAAAAACAGATTTTGTTTTGTTTTCTCCATGTTTCTCAACAAATTGAACCATTTTGAAACATGTTTGTGAAAAAACATTTTTAGAATTTTTCACAAAATCCTAATTCTGCATGTCATGTTGGTCAAAAGTTAAAACAAATTTCAAAATTTTATGTTTTCTGCATGTTTCTCACCAAATTATGGCATTTTGAAATTGTTTTGGAAAAAAATGTTTTGAATTTTTTGGAAAAATCTGAATTTCGCTTGTCATGTTTGTCAAAAGTTGAAAAATATTCATGACAATCTTTGAAAAAATAAATTTCAAACTTTAATTTTTAATGTTTCTCATCTGGGTCCCCCCAGAAAAGCTGGATAAAGTGTCGACCGAGAGGGAAGTCTGGGTGTCCCTGCTCAGACTGTAGGCCCCGCGACCCGGCCCCGGATAAGCGGTTGACGATGGATGGAAAGGTTTTTTGAAATTTTTTTTTTAATTT